CCTATGCTATATTTATAACCCAATTATGTCAAGTCAAGTCAAATTTATTTGTATAGTGCTTTTTACAATACACATTGTGTCAAGGCAGCTTAAGAGAAAATCATAATATTAATACTTATAATATCTTAATATCTTCATACCTTATGATCACATTTAACAGATTAGAGCTGGGTTATATAGTTTCCATTTAGCGACAATACACGCAATTAAGCAGATTAGAAATGCTAAATAGCATATATCACCCTGCGCAGGTATACTGTATATATTGGACATACTTATACATCCAAATTTATATAAAGAGCTGGGCGATAATGTTTACATTTTGCGACAAAACAACAAAATCAGGCAGGTGAGATTTGCAATCTAGTTTATATCACTTTATACAGTGGAGTCTGTCAGGAGTTAAGCAGCAATAAAGCACACGAGGCAGGAGTAGCGAACTTCATTCATCTTGTTTTACTCTTTCACTTCCATTCTCACACATTACATAATACACAACAGTTCAGGCTTCCTTTTTAAAGTAGTAGTCCACAATATAATTTATTTATGACCACTTTTTTTTATTTATTATTTACTTATGCACCAACAATGCAAACACATCCATACATCAGATTTAAGTGACATAATAATTTACCAACTATGCTTTCAAACATCATGTTTAGGTTGTATGAGTGCATGTGAGCAGTGTTTTCAAGCGGAATTGTTAGTATGCATGGCAATGCAGTGAGATGGGAAGCATTCCATGTCTTTCCATCACTAAGAAACTTTCTGTGTTGCTTAGGAACATGCAAGGGGGTCCGTACCCTCACTATATCCCCCTCCTGGAAACAAGGAGTGAGAGCACCTCGCTTAGCATCAGTGTACTTTTTCATTTGGTGTTGCAGTTGAGTAAACCTTCGGCGAACAGTCATGCCAGTTGATGGGTGCACAGGAGCAGGCAAAATAGACGGCCTTGTGCGCATTTGCCTGCCATAGAAGAGCTGAAAGGGTGAAGTACCAGTTGAAGAATGTGGAGTGGCACAGTACACCTACAAGAAGTCAGTTACCACAGGTTTCCATGGCTGATGTTGCTGGATGGCCATTTGGACGGTGTGTTTGAGCACACAGTTGAACCTCTCTACAGCCCTATTAGCTGCCAGGGAGTAGAGAGAGGAACGATGATGACGAATATTCCTTCCTTCCAGAAAAGTAGCGAAAGCAGTAGATGTAAACTGAAAACTGTAATCACTAAAAATACTCAATGGATTTCCATGGTGGCTGAAGACTGATGACAGAAACAAAACCACAGAATCCCAAGTGACAGTGGCCCTCATTTATCAAAAGTGCGTACACCAAATTTCCAGCGTACACCTGGCGTACACCCAAACCCACGGTGACTTTGAGATTTATCAATATGGACGTTGGTGTACGGAACGCTCAAATCCTACGCCAGCTCAGGAGGTGGTGTACGCACGTTTTGAGTTAGTGCAGAAATGCGCAGAAAAACAATGCCTAACACCACAAAACGCACTGACAAACTAAAAGATATGATATATTATGACCAACAACAACAAAATAGTAACTATAAACTTCAGTGTTTATTTTTGTGCAACATGGACTTCAATGTTTAATTTGTGTGACTTTACCAAAGCATTTGATTTGAAGCCATATGTATTCCTTCAGTTGCGAGCCTGTGCGCCTTACCCTGACGTTTCAGGGTTAGGCCCGGCAAGTGCGCACGGACTGGGTTCGGTAATGAAAGGCTTTCAATGACCAAAAAATAATTCAGACTGACAAAATAATAAAAAATACATTCTTCTTCTTTTAAATAATAATAATAATAATACAAATAAATAATAATAACGACGTTCTTCTTCTAAATAACAACAAGCGTCATTAATAATAAAAATCATAATAATAAGAAGAATATTACAAATTGTCATGCAATTATTAATGTGAATGAATGGTACTCCACATCACATCATCATCGTCACTATTGTACACCCCAATACATGTGACGCGATTCGAAATTGAATGCTAATTGTTTCAAAAGACGTGCCGTAAAATAATGCATTGTGATAGGACATTTCGGCTCCACGTCGGAGAAGTTTCTCTTCTATGCCGTCTTCCGTGTGTACATGGCGTAAAATGAGGGCGTGGGGGAAACGGAGACTTGAATATATAGGGGCGTGCTATTCTAATGACGATCGTTTTCAGCCGCGGGATTTATCAAGGGCAGGTATTGCGTACACCTGGATTTCAAAGGTACGCACAGCTTCATAAATCAGGCGGTGAGAGGAGTGTAAGCATAATCTAACGCCAACATATACGCCCGTTTCTACGCAAGAATGATAAATGAGGGCCAGTGTGAGTAAAGGAGACCTCAGGCCATTTGCTGTAATAGTTAAGGTTATAGCAAACCTGCAGTCGGATAAATACCAACAATACCTACAGCCACTTTCTGCCATGGTTCATCTGGCAGCGGCACCGACTGGAGAGGAGCAGGATGTGACTTGACATTTTTGTCAGTGAGCTGACACACGTAGCAAGAACATAAAGCACCATGAACCTGAGCATCCATCCCTGGCCATCAATAGAGATCATAAAGGCGTTATTTGGTCCTCACCTCTCTCTGATGTTCTTTGTGCTCTAAGGAGACCAGCACAGATCGAAGAGCAGCAGGTACAATAAGCCGTGAGCCTCGGAAGATGGAGCTGTCCGTAATAGACAGTTCCAAGCACAGTTTATAGTACCGCAATAACTCAGCGTCCAGCCCCTTGAGTGTAGGAGGCCAACCATTGGACGAAGTTTAATTAAAGCAGGACAAGAAGCACATGCAGCATCAACATCAGCAGCAGAAAGAGAATTACAGGCAGAAAGAAAAGCAACAAACTCCTCATCATCAGGAGCTGGAGCAACGGCTTTATCTGCAGGAGAAGCATTTTGACGTGTACACGTGATTCATCAGGAAGAAGATCTTCCTCTGAAACAGTATGACCAAAGGACAGCAGGCTGGTTTGCCGGAAATGACACTTGTGTTTATTAAGCTGCAAGCCAGCAGCTTCTAGTCGTTGTAAGACCGCTTGAAGTGCTTTGTCATGCACAGACATGTCAGATCCATGGAAGATACAGTCGTCCAGGTAATTTTCAACCCCTGACAAGCTAGTCAGGATAATGGTCATCATCTTCTGAAATGCAACGGGTGCTGAAGCCAATCCATAAGGAACACGTCAAAAACGGAACAGTCCGTTGTGAGTAATAAAGGCTGTGAGGTCATGACATGCAGTGGTACTTGGTAGTAAGCATTAGTCAGGTCGATGATAAAGAAAACAGTAGAACCTTATAGTGCAGAGAGTAGTTCATCCATGTCTGGCAACAGAAAATAGTCCATAATCACTGTTTTATTTGGCTCTCTAAGGTCAATGCACATCCTAATTTTACCTGACTTTTTCTGTGTAACGACAATTGTTGACACCCATGCAAAGGCGTCAATGCGTTCTATCACCCCAACTGCTTGTAAACAATTTAATTCCTCTGACACAGCAAGACAAACAGAGAGTGGAAGATGGCAAAGTGTTTGCCGCACAGCTGACAGTTTCATCCAGCTTTACGCAGTGTATTAGGTTTTTAGCACATCCAAACTCAGTTGACTCAGCAATAGTGCACTGAAAGACTTGCACTGGAGGAACAGGCACAGGAAGGGCATTGATTGTTTTCAATCCTCACATGCAGTGCAAAAACGTATGAAAACGTAGCAGGAACTGAGTGGTCATGTAGGGAAATGTTCCAACAATCTGACAATCATCCAACCACCGGAATTTTGGCTCACAAGCCTGGCTTTGGGTTGCGATAGCACAATTGTTACTGAAATGGCATACATAAGTGCTGTAAGGCAGGATAGATATGAAAGACCCAGAGTCAACCACCAAATCCACCACAAAAGTCTGTGAGTCAGAAGTAGATATAGTCACTGTGCTTGTAATACTAGGAGTATGAGCTGAATATTCTGTGTACAGTACAGTAATTTCTGGTAATTTAATTTCACGGATCTTGCGCTTGTTTGACTGGCTGATCGGTTTAGCATAAAATCCAATGTTTTTACACTTCCAGCATGTTGCAGTTGCAGTCGGGCAGTTCACAGTGTTAGCTAAACGTGCCTCCGGTCCACAGCAAAAACATGACTTCCTCTTCCCCACCTGAACAGAATTAAGAGGTGCATGTGACGGTTTTTACCGTTGTTAATGCATTTTAATGTGTGCTGCACCGCTTGTACGGGGGGGCTAACTTAGTGTGTGATCAGTTTCCAGTAAAAGTCTCTTACATATCGGTGGGCTAAACACATTCTCAACTAACTGATCGTGAATCATTTCGTCAGTACGGGCACCAAACTCAAATGAAACAACAAGCTCTCGCAAAGCAACAACGTACTGTAAAACTGTCTTGTGAGGAGCCTCACAGCGTTTACGTTCAGCTATTGTTATAGCTTTTGGCACGAAGTTGGCTTTCAATGCATCCTCTCCATCCTTATACGTTGTACCTGTAGGCAATGATAAGAAAAGCCGTTTACCCTCTGTGTCAAAGGCAGTGAAGCAGTACAGCTCTCCATCTTTCGTCCGGCCAAGTATCCCCTGTGGCATCAATAACCTGTAGATCATTTTCAGAAATCCACAGCCATGGGTTAAACGGCATAGCTGGCTCACCGGGGCAAGGCAGGAAAAACTCAAGAAAGGCATGTTAGCAACAGCCATCTTCCTGACCAAATCTAGCGAGAAAAAAAATGCCTAATCCCCGTCGCCAATTTGTGGTGTCTCTCAGGACAGCAGCAACAAAGTACTGTAAGTACTGTGATAAAAGTTGTGTAAGCAGCAACAAAGTACGGGACAAAGGCAGGAGTAGCGAACTTCATCCATCTTGTTTTACTCTTTCACTTCCGTTCTTACACATTACATCATACAGTTCAGACTTCCTTTTTTAAAATAGTAGTCCACAATATAATTTACTTATGAACACAACATATACTGTATGTTTGACAGTCGGATATAAAATACATCCGACTTTATACAAAGAGCTGGGCGATTATACATTTGACATTTTGTGATGATATAAACAATCACACAGCTGAGATTATCACAAAATCTAAATAAATGTGTAATGTTTTAAACATTTACACACCATTTAACATGGTTTTTAATGCAAAACAACTTCCAGTACAGTAGTTCCCTTGGGGGCAATCCGGAGCCACTGATCAAGGGCACAATGGCCCTCTATAGTTCCTGGGTCACCGCTACTTGGCATCAACCTGGAACCATTGTGTAAGCAGGCCAGATCATTAACCAGTAGGCAACCACTACAACACGACTGACACCATCACAGTTAATGACATAACCTTCGGGTGACAGCTCCATCCTGGAGAGATATTGATCTTAGTTGTCACAGACGTCACTGAGAAACTACTGATCAAAACAATAAAGCCGTAGAGGAATGTTCCATGATCTATAGTTTACATAATCCAGTGAGCCAGTTATTACAGTCTACTGAGCCTCCTACACCCTCTCACGACTCTCCTCGCCGAGCGCCTGCATCACACACTCTGTTTACTGTTTGTGTTCACATGCTGTCTAGAGTTGTATTGGGGAAACAGCACTCTTCATTTCAAATAGTTGATTATTGTGCCCTATAATTACATTACAATGTACCCAGGGCCAACTCTATCGGCTACTTAATGAGGTTCAGATGAAGCTGTGCTGTAAATTGTAACTGTGCAGGTTTAGGGGTCACTGATGCACTTCTGATAATGAGAGTTTTGAAGCTTCGCTATGCACAACTGAACCATGCCAGGACCTTCCTGTCACTCCTAAATCCTGAAGCTGTCCATGTGCACCCTGTTTTCTGGGCCCTTTTCCCAACCTGTCATCATAAATCCCGAACATTTAGTGTCTACATTACATGTCCCCAAAGAGAGAAGGACGCCAGGAGAAAGGTCTCTGAAAGTTAGTCAGTGGTCTTATAAGAGTCACTGTATTAGTAATAATCATAAATTAAACAGTATAGTTCAGCAAGTGAAGTCAGGTAAGAACAGGTAACTTACCATGGCTGAATTCATCCAACAACAGTTGGGAGCACATTTTAAAGTCAGTAATCCATGTAAAAGTATCCAAAAAAAACAGTATCCAGCTGACAGAGGTTGACTGAGCTGCAGGTCGACTGAGACAGCCAGAGGGTGTCCAGAGTGGTTGTGTTGTGGATGAACACTCATCTGTTTCTGAACTCCTCCATAGTGGGCTGTTATAGGCTAAGAGAGAAGGGGGCGGGGCTTCTTCTGTGTATGGTTCTGTTATTCAGCTCCAACTCTAGTCCTTTACAGGTCACTCTACATGCACTCTTTTAAACTATCTCTCTTGATCCTTCGATCCCTCCTTATTTCCATCACTTTCTACCCATTTATCTTTCTGTCATTTAAACTACTGTGTGTTCAGTGCACATAAGCAAACTAGGAGCATTATATTTTCCTTTTTTTTGTAGACAGCAGCAGTTTGGGTGTTTGAGTTAGAGGTGAGTCAAATAAAATGAGGAATTATATATCTGTGAGAAGTTTTAGAAACACGACAGTTCACCATTGGCAAAATATTATTTCAGCTGATTGTTCTGTTCTAAAGTAGCAAGATTCCGACTAATGATTCATTTAACAGCCACACCTTATATGTTTCATATTGCATGACTAATAGGGCTGTGAATCTTTGGGTAGGCAGCGAATCGATTCGATTCACGATTCATAGGTTTTCGATTCGATTCAAGAAGGATTTTTGCAAATTCAGAAAGATTCGATTCAATGCAATTCACATTAAAATTCGATGCGATTCGATTAATTCGGTTCGATTCTTAATTTTTTATATGCATTCATAGGATTATTTAAATGCTTCCCCCAATGGGTCTTAGTCAGGGTGTGAATACAGCTGCCTTCGGGGGTCAGAGAGTGGGGGAAAAAAAACAAAAAAACAACAACAACATTTTGTCTATTGTTAATGTTAGTTCATGTTAATTTTTAATGAATCTATTATTATAAAAAATATTTCCAAAGCCTATAAATTAGCATTTGTAAAAATGTAAACCAAGATTTAAAAAGGCTTTAAAAGTATAGTTCATCATGCTAACTATTTTGTAGGAATGGATACACAACCTTAAAGTGTTCCTACATTAAACATCCTCCATTGTGAGACTAAAAATACCATGAACTTTCCCAACTAAAACCTTAACTAACGTTTCCTCATGGAATAGCTACACTCTTTGTTCTCTTTATCCGACTGAACATTTTCCTTGTGATTCTGAAAGAAAACACGCCGGCTGTCTACTTGTGCTATTAACGATTATGAATGCAACTTTAATCCGCATCTGATTGATGGATAAACCACGCGCTCTTATTTCAGTGTAATTAATGTTGTAGTTATTTCATCAGTTTTCTTCGTACATTCAGTTTAACGACATTAAGTTACATTTCATTCATCATTCATGATTAATCGGAAGCGTGTGCATTTTAGACACCTATTATACGTTTTCTCTTTCCATGTAATAAATGCGCACCCTTGAATAAGTGGGGTTTTACTTTAACTGCTCAGGACGGGTATGACCTAACCTGGCCCTTGCCAGATGAATTTCGCTCCGCCTAGCTTCACTCACATCCATCTGGAACCGATCCATTGAAATGGCGTTTCAGAAGGCTGGGCCTTATCAAAAATCCTTGCATATGATTGGATAAGCCACTTGTCTGTCATCTTTATCGACGTGCTATTTCAACCACTCACACCGAAGCCAACCCGTGACGCTGAAGAATCCGGTCGGGAGAAGGCACTGATCTATATAACATCGTTTCCACCAACAAAAGCCTTAAGAGCCGTTCTCTGATGTTCTTTTAATGAAACAATATTAGGTAGATTGGACAACACGGATGAAATCAATGTTAACAGCATCAATGTTAACGCTTGTTTCCTCGATGCGAGCCGCCATTGTTGTCTGAATCAAAACAGTCTCACGGTCGCTTCTCCACTACGTCACATCTATGAAACTCCCGCCCTGCGTCCTGATTGGCTAAACCATAAAGTTGGTTGGAGAAATCAAGGGGGTAATCCATCGACCGGAAGTTGAAGCCGGCCGGGTGCCGCCATGTTGTAGCAGAACTTCACTTGCGTTAGCATTTCCATTGACTCCCATTCATTTTTGCGTCACTTTGACAGCGAATAACTTTACATCTGAGGCGTTTAAAGACTCCATTTGTCCATTATTTATTTCTAAAGAAACACGACAATGTATAAAGGGCTCCATTACCTTCTATGTTACACTATGGCCCCGTAGAAACAGATTTAGTAAAAATAGGCTAACGATTGCGTCATAACCACTCGACTCTCTGTCGCGCTGTACAGAAGTTACCGTACAGACAGGAGGAGAAGCTCGCAGGCAATCGGGGGGACGTCCCGTCAAGGGAGAAGCCCATAGATAATGAGTCCATAAAAGCAACGGAATACTTACTCCTGCTCACTCACGCCAAAGAACTCTTTGCTCAAGTTCCCCGTCTCTGCAAGATTAACGTTGGCAGTTTTCACGCACAGCTACTAGAAGATTAACGTCTGTCAGACAGGTTGCTCACGTCATCAAGCTTAGTTTGAGTCGGTCTGAGTCTGCGCGTCAGGAACGGAAGTTCTCAAAAATCGCTAAAAGTGGGCTTCAACTGTCTCAACTGAGTTCCAATGAGATCGCTCTGTCCATTTCTTTTACTGTCTATGGGAGAAATCACTCTCAATGGAAGAGGTTCCAGATGGATGTGAGTGAAGCTAGGCGGAGCGAAATTCATCTGGCTAGGGCCAGGTTAGGTATGACCCATGTTCGTAAAACTTCAGTAGGCTATCTTATCTTAAAGAAAATAACGGCGACGTTTCCACGCAACGAACGCGTTGTTTCATAGCAGCCCGCGCAAAGATATGGCAGCTTTATCAATGGCTTGCTTTCTCGATAGAGAGCTGTCATCTGCTCATGTGAACACCAATGGCTGTCCTGAGGAGAGCTCAAACATGGACTGCTCAAAAATCTGTAGATGAGAGCTATGGGACCGAGCGCGAGCGAAATCCAGTGAAAGATGGTAAGAGTGCAGCGAGTGTGTGAGAGCTGTGAGGACGCAAAATGACGCCGCACAACGCCTCATTAATTCGCGCATGTAGTCATTTAATGTTTATATGTTTTAAAGCACTGAATCGATATAGAATCGCAAATTATTCGATTCTTAGCATTTTAAATCGAATATTGACCGAAATAAACGATTCACAATTCGAAATACATGTTTCAAGATCGATGCATATGCATCGTCAGGATTTGTAATCGATGCATCGAGAAAACGAATGAATCGTTACACCCCTAATGACTAACGTTTAGTGCACACAATAAATTAGTCTAACACAGTGCTTGTAGACAACATTAGAATCATAAATGAAATCAAAAATGACCCTATATACATGCCCTTGGCCTTATTGTGATTGATTAAAGGTGAACTAAGTAACTTTTTTACCTTAACCGAACAGCTTTGGAGTCATTGTAATGTTTATATTACTGATTTCGTGTTGAATGGTGGTCGTCTCGCACCCCCCTGGTGCCTGTGAGCCGCAAAACCACCCTTGCAACTTTGGGCCGGCATCGTGTGATATCAGGTCTCACGAGGTAACAAATTGCTTTACGGCAAAAAACAGATCTGATAAAATTCTGATAAAATGAGCATCAAACAGAAATAACCCTGCGCCGTATACATGTGGTGTTGGGCGTGCGCAGCTCTTAAAGGGGCCATACCTTATTTCCACTCGTTACAGCGTCCATCCTACTGAACAGGTACCGGTGTACAGGGGGAGGGGATCCGGCCGTGAGTGCGAGCCATCTCTGCGTGAGTGCTATTCACGACAGTACAAGTACTCCACGGCGACTCTAGGGGTCGCTGTTTGACAAAAACAGAATTCCTACTTAGTGCTGCTTTAATTATTCCAATAGGAAATAAAACAGGTTGCTCTATGTTATCTTTCCTTATTGGCTGAAGTTACCAAGTGCCTTTAACCCTTCAATTCCAACCACCTGTCATAAAGAGACCACTTTTCATGATTACATTTCAATCAGTTCCTGAGGTTTCACATTCTAGTTGGTAATACTGTACTTTATGTTTGGCATGTGAATTCGGTTCATGTTGACTTTAAGTATTCGAATACAGATGATTGTGATACACTATACAGTAGTGACCCGAAGGATCCTATTAATTCTGTTAATAACATTTAGAAAAATACAAATATAATTAGGCTGTTAAAATGTTAGTGCGGCAAAAAACACACATTATTTATACAAATAATTTAGCTAAAGTAATATTGTTTTAATAATGTCTAATTTAATACTTGTTCAAAACAATCACTTTAGCAAAGTTTGCACTATTTTTTGTTTACTTTGATAAATAAATGAGTTTTGTTCAACAAATATACTGTCATTAAAATATGTTCATTTTTAAAAACACAGAAACAAAATTATTTTAAAAAGTGAAGATTATGAAAGCACTGAATGAGATCCCACAATAATTTAATATAGCTTTACAGTAGTAACAATAAATATGATTTTTTATTATATAATATGATTAATATCATATTTTTTTTAAATATGATGGACACCCAAATATAGGATATTTACCATCTGAACCATGTCATGTCAACAAATGGAAAAGTCAGCCAGCTGTTTATTATTATCATGTTAATTATTGTGCCTTTCGCCCCAACAGCAGGGCACCTCAATTTACCCCAATTACCATACGTTTACATATTCATCCATTATTGAAAACTGTAGCTTTTATTGCCTTGAACAAAACTTTCAATAATTAAGAAGACATTTGTTTCAAAATATTTTCAATAATTGTAGTGATTCTCATTTGCTACATAAAGGGGTCATATAATGGTACATGCACTTTTACAAGTTGATTGTACTGAAATGTGTGTCGGCAGTGCCTGTACACAACCATCATAAAATGATAAAAATGCATCCAGTGTTTTTGTTTTAATCTCCTTATGTTTTCCCCTGCCTCAAATCGAGCCGTTCGGCCATGTGACGTCACACGGTCGGAAGCCCCTCCCACGATTGTTGATTGATAGCAGCGTTTCAACACAGATCCGCCCTCGCTCGTGAGCCAGCGGTCAATCATAGTCTGCGCGGACCGGCACGGTCATTG